GTGAAAAGGGTCTGAAAGCTGGTGTCAGTCCAGTACAGGGTTGTCTAGAGTAGAGGCTTTTCTTTGGAAGCCAGAGCCACGGGCGATGTGTGACGAGGGGAGCTGTAGGTGTCTGAGGTTCTCTGTCCAGCGCGGGGCCGTGCTCTGACCTCTCATAGATTCACAGATGTTAGGGTCAGAAGAGACCTCAGTAGATCATCGAGTCCGACCCCCTGCCCTGGGCAGGAAAGAGCACTGGGGTCCGACAACCCCAGCTAGGTGTTTGTCCAGTCTCCTCTTAAAGACCCCCAAGGTAGGGGAGAGCACCACCTTCCTTGGAGCCCGTTCCAGGTTCTGGCAACCCTCACCATGTTGCTAAGCTGTATCTTCTGGTCTTGCACTTGTTCCTGGATGGTTTGGAAGACTTTTACGTAATAACTAGATGTCATGTGAAGAAATGCAGACGGGTCAGTGACGTAGCCCTCTCCCACCCGGGTCAGGAATGAACCAGTGGAGCTCTGCGGAGTAGAGCTGGCAACTGCCCTTCCCTTTTCCCTTGTCCGAGTCGCTGTTATCTTGTGTCTCAGTAACACAGGACAGGATTTCAGCCTGCATTTAGCTATGTCCACACATTTAAACATCTCTTCTTGTTGAGGTCCCAACACATCTGGATTTTGCTCACCTGACAACTTCCTTTCCTGGTTTTTACTCTGAAGGGAAACATGTTTAAATCTACATTTTCTCTCCAAGTTTGTACTTATCTTTCTTTCCCTCCTTCAGGGACACAGAAACCCTAATTGGGTTACCGCGGCCCATCCATGAAAGTGTGAACACTTTAAAGCAGGTAATACAATGGCTCTCTTCACCTTCAGCCTTTTTGATCTGGCCTGTGGGACGGGAAGCTGCTTGAACGTCTTGCACTGTTATAACTTTTCCCATTTAGTAAGTTCAGCAATAGTGAGATGCCAGCCATCTTTCGGGGTGAGAACTGGTGCACAGTTCGGTCCCAACGGGATACAGCGCCCTTCATCTATCCCCCTTATCTTGTGTGGAGCGCTCCAGAAGTGTCTGCACTTCAACGTTAACTGAAATGATTTGTGGACGTGCAGTGGTGGATGCACTTCAAGGTTGTAGGAGTTTCCAAAAGGGGAGATGGAGTCTCTCAGCTGTGAGGACCTCTCCTGGCATCGCCTGTAAATCTAACCCGAATATCTGTGCTCTGGTTGGGAAGGCGAGGGGGGTCAGCATTTTTCATTGCACAGTGTCTCTTCTGTTTCAATCATAGTGTTACTCTGCTTCTGTTCATGTCTTTGGCAGCATAAATATGTGTCCATCTCGGATATACAAATCAAGAATGAAGAAGAGCTGGAGAAGTGTCCCATGTCTTTGGTAAGAAACCACCGCCCTCCTTCTTTGTTGGATGGATGTATGGGTGGGTTTCTAAGGATTGTGTTACTATTGCTTAACCTCCTTACCACGGCGTGAATGTGCCACATGTGTCCATACCAGGATTGATTGGAGGTGACGTGAGTCTAGAAAGCAGGGCTTCCTTTGGGACCTGCCAGGGGCCTCGGAGCCGGGCAAATTTGCCTGTTATAGGATTGAGAACAGCCACTCTCCTCTTGGAAAGGGTTGACCATTTTGATATAAGGATATAACTTGCAACAGCTACAGGTCCCAAGATGCAGTGCCTAAGTGACCTGGCTACCCAAGATGGTGCGTTGTCAGCTGAAGCCCACAGCTGATGCAGGCTGTACTTTTCTATGAAAGATGACAGCTGCATCATCAGCTCTGCTGATTTTCCTTTGATTCTCAGGACATACTTTGGCTATCCAGGTTTTAAGGCAAGAACCCACTCAGAATTGGTTCCCAATCATCCTTGCCAGAGCAGGCATACTGATAAGCCTGGCAGCATCCTGATAGAAGTGTGGGGAATGGCTTCATTTTTCGTGCTTCCTTGAAGTGGACTTTGTGCCTGTCCAGCATATCTCGGTTGTTTGGTTGAATTACAGCTTTTTCCCCTTCCTTGTACCCAACGTCTCTCTCATTCCAGGGGGAGGAGGAAGTTCAGGAGACCGCTTGTGAGATCTTGTATCGGGCGATGTTATACAATCTTCCCCAGTATATGGTAAGGCTATATTGTTTTCCAGAAGTGTGAGAGTCAGGAGCTCACTGCCTAGAAAATTAGCATTGGAAGGGACCTCGAGAGGTCACATCCAGTCCAACCCCCTGCTCCAAACAGGACCAGCCCCAACTACATCATCCCAGACAAGGCTTTGTCTAGCCGGGTCTTCAAAACCGCCCAGGATGGAGACTGCACCACCTCTCTGGGTGACCTTTTCCAGTGCTTCACCACCCTCCTAGTGAGAAAATTCTTCCTAATATCCAACCTCAGCCTCCCTTGCTGCAACGTGAGCCCATTGCTTCTTGTCCTGTCGTCTGCCCCCACTGAGATCGGTCCAGCTCCATCCTCTTTGCAACCCCCCCTGCAGGGAGCTGAAGGCTGCTATCACATCCCCCCTCAATCTTCTCTTCTCCAGTCTGAATAAGCCCAGTTCCCACAACCTCTCCTCGTAAGTAGGACTGAGAGCCCTGGAGCTGATTTAGGAGATTGTCACTTCAGGCATCCTTCTAAATATGCTTCAGCTCTGACCTAGAGGGGCCACCTCTGATGGTAAAAAGGAGCACGGAGCCATTCAGCTCCTGTCTTCTCTGTTGAGGCTACTATAGGGCCACCAGGAGTGTGGTTTGTGAGAAGGACAACTAATCATGCCAGGAAATGGGCGTTAATGCACTGAGCTGTAATGTGCCTTCATATGGGCTGCAGCCTGGTAGCCACGTCAGGCTGAGTCTGAACAGGGGGCCTTTCTGTGAAAGGGTCTGCAAGCCATTGGCAGTTCCCAGAATCATGCTGCCTTCCTTGCAGGGGAGCTACGTAGAGGTCTACTGCCGCTCCATTGGTTTCATAAGAAATGGAGCTTGTGTCCTGCAGTATTAGCAGTATCTGAGGTCTTCAGGCTGCACAGCTAAAACGGACCCTCTTTCTCCTCTCGAGCTGTTGCACAGTGAATTTTCTGTCCCTGTATAGATCGCTTTGCTGAAGATCCTCCTGGCTGCGGCTCCCACCTCCAAAGCCAAGACTGACTCTATCAACATCTTGGCAGACGTGTTGCCCGAGGAGATGCCGTAAGTGCTTGAGGGGGAGGCAGCTGTTTCAGCAGCAGTGGTAGGTGATGGTAGTGATCTGGGGCTTAGAGACAGGGGCAGAGATTTCCAGTTTCTGAGACCAGGCAGGGCCTACACATGAGAGAGGAGTTACGGTTTCCATGGAAGTGTCTGCTTTTTCTCTGGACCTTCAACCTTTTCGGCGCTCAGGCTGCACCACATCTGCCCTTGTGCCCTGTTAACTTGAATGGCCATGTTACGCTATGACTGGAAGAAGCAGCCCGTGCTAATTCACCTGTCCTGAGTCGGAAGGAAGTGTCTTGTGGCTAGAATACAGCACAAGAGAAAAGACTGCTCATGGCCAGATGTCAAAATAAACCAGTAGGCAAAAGGAAGAAAGCTTGTTATTATTCAACAGGCATTTTTCCCTTCTCTTAAGAGTCCCTTTCATTGCAATTTAACTCCTACAGCAGACTGCTCCCAAAGCACTCTTCAGACAGGGCAGTCGGTCTCTTCTGTAGTCCACCTTAGTGGTGCTGATCTGTATGTGGAAGCAGGAGTCCGTGTCTATCAGTGAAGACAGCCTTTCTGTAGAAAGAGTGAGTCCAGGGAAACCATAAATATGACGCTCCAGCCCACTGGTGCTGCTCGTAAATGGTTTTCTCCCATTCCATCCTCTTTTCCTTCCAAACCAGAATTACAGTTCTTCAGAGCATGAAATTGGGGATTGATGTGAACAGACACAAAGAGATCATTGTGAAGAGCATTTCAGCCTTGCTGCTGCTGCTGTTGAAACATTTCAAACTGAACCACATCTACCAGGTGGGTTTTATCCAACGCTAAGTGTATGACAAATAGAGATTCATTCTGGTTAGTCTCTCTTGAGAAACCTCCTCTTAGCACCGTTCCCCTGTGAGCGGCTGCTGGCTGGTTTTTGACAGAGATGAGTTTTAGCCCCAGGGTATAACTTCATTAGTGGTACTGGCACTGGATAAGGTGGCTATCGATGTCTTGGACTGTGTTTTTTCTGGGGTCACTTCCACAAGGCAATACCTCCAATCTCATTACAAACCCCAGTGTGAATATGTCACGTTGAATCCCTGTATAACCCGCCTGAAGAGATGGCATCTCTGCCAGAAATGGGAAAGGGATAGGAGGCTAGACAGACCTCTCTCAGGCTTTGTCTACACTACCGTTACATTGGGGAGAACTAGTTACAACGCTCCTAACTACGTTTTAGCTTTGTTTGGCTTTGTGTCTAAATTGGGCCAAAATGTGTCATAACCATGTTAAAAGGTTCCCTTATTACCAATGCTGTTTAAATATTTGATTGGGCTGTAGCCTGGCCCCGTACTGAAGCACTCTGCATACCAGATGCTTATTGGTTTCCTTTTTTAGAAAGCTTCCCACATGCACAGCTCCAGCATCTAGCCTGCAGCACGGTCCACCCTGTTTTATTATGAACGTTAATGTGCTGCATCTTATGATCCGCCTCCTCTCTACAGCGAGTCCCTTGTGCCTCTTACTGTGTTGCTACTTGTTCCCCTCTCTCATCCCGGCACAGAAGATCCTGTTCTCATTTTTCTGCCTTCACTGTGCTATGAGACTGCATGTTATTGGGCCATCACAGAAACAGGATCTAAGGGGCTCCTGGGTTCAGAGCTTGCATTTTGTTTAGCCGTAGGGGAGTCACTCGATTGCCTTTTGCATCATCCACATCTGGAAAGCCAGGACATCTCTGCAAACCAGAGCAGAAACTTCCACAGCAATTAAATGCACTTAAAACTAAAAGGTCCAGATGCCTGTCCTGGCTCTGTGTTAACGAACCCATTAAGGTTTGTTTAAATGCAGTGTCCAGCAGCTAAGATCAGATTGAGTCACTAGTGTGACTGACGAGCCGGATACGAGGCAAGGGCTTTGTAGAGTGCAGCCGACTGCTGCACCTGCCTGCTGTGGCGTTTGGGCCACAAAGGTGGTATGAGCGCCAGGGAATATCCCTTGGCCCTGACTATCTTCACTCTGTTTGTGACTGATCTGCAAACAGTAGATCAACCACATGTGTGAAACGAGTCTGTTCAGGTTTCCAGTGTGCTCAGCCTGCTAGCTGATGGCCAGAAGGTAGATGGGACGTGGTCTTTTCGAGGGGATTCTCCCAGCCAGCCCCCTTTTGCTTCTCCCTCCAGTTAATGTGGCGGAGGCTGCAAAAAAGACCGGCAGTTCTGCTAGATGAGTAAAAGGGAGCTTCCCTTGGTTAAGTCAACAAGGAGCCTGTGGAGTTTCCTTCAGCTGTTGGTCACTCCGTGTTCTTGCACTGTGTTTTTCTCCAGGGCTACCCCTGCGCTCTACCTTCGAGGTTGGGGCAGGAGTCCGAAGGCCCTAGCTCTGCTTTGGGCTCCGCTGACTTGCTGTATGACCCTGAGATAAGTCCTTTGTGTCTTGCGTGTCCTTCTCTGAGAAACGGAGTCGTCGGGGGAGACCGAGATACAGACAGGGATGAATACAGCAATGCTTATAAAGCTCTTTAGGATGCTAGCTCCTGGTATCTGAACACCCGAGTAGTCGTGGCACTTGAAATACTAAGGTTGAGATGGGCTAAGCATTCTTTGCATATAAATCGCCACTTCCCCAAATTAGCAGTGACTTAGCACTGAAAACGGGTTTTAAAAAAAATAAAAGATTATTTCCTGACTCAGATAAATTGTGGGTTAGAAGATGACACAGCTGGGATAAGCAGAGGAATGCCTCTTTTTGTTATATTTGGTACAATAGAGCTTTGTTGTATTCTTTACAAACTATATTTCTAGGGCATTGAAGGTTAAGTTTTAACAGGGAGAGAGAAATGCAAAAGCAGGTACAAAAGAAATATTACTATGTTTCTCAGTAAAGGGCTAGAGCTAACACTTCACAGAAAGGAAAAAAATAAGGTATTGCCAAGGGCTGGCACAACAGATGAGGTGGTGTTTTACCCCACAGTTACAGGGATTACTGGTAAAGGGCAAAATGGGAAGCATAGGAGAGGAGGTCTGTGAGACCAGCTGGAGCATCTGCTGTAAAACCCAGGAAACCTTCTTTATGTTCAGTTTTTTCCCTCCCATTAATGCCGTGTGTTCACCTCTTTCTTTCAGTTTGAGTATGTGTCCCAGCACTTGGTGTTTGCCAACTGCATCCCGTTGATCCTGAAGTTCTTCAACCAGAATATCATGTCCTATATCACTGCCAAAAACAGGTATAGCCCGTTTTGTAGCGGTGCTTTTTCCTCCGGGGACATTGGCAAGCTACAGCTTTGTGCACGGAGAGAGCGCAGCGTGAGGGGGGTGAAACAGCTGCAAGGGGTTGCGTTCTAGGTTGGACGAAGCATTAAACGATCTGCCGTACGGAAACAATCCTGTGCTGCCCAGAGTGATCTTCTGGGCCTCTCTTACCTTCTGAGCCTGTTATTCATCTCTCCTGCCTCTGACCACTTGGTTTTAAATACCTGCAAGAATGTTTCTACACTTTTGCTGGCTGACAGTGTCTTTAAGTAGGAAGACTTTTATGCTGCTTTGTGCCTTGAGACACTGAGCGTGTCAAGAATCACAAGAATTATATTATATGATCACACCCTACCCATTTTGGGGATGTGCATGTCTTGCAGAGGGTGATCAATACTCTTATTCTTCCATATGGGCTAATTATATAAAAGCGATAGGTTCTATAGAGGTGGTAGCGAAGTCTGCTTCCTTCCCTTTGAATTTCCCTGACGTTATCAGTTTGCCCAATCTCTTATTTTAACCTAAAGTTGAGTGGGGGGGGTTGTTTTGTTTTTTTAATAGCTAGTATGTCTTGGCTTAATGGATCTGGGTCCCTTGAGTCATTATTAGAGCACTCAAGATATGCGTTAGAGAAATAACTGATCCATTAGCAGAGACACAGACTCATGAGACAGTTTGTGCAACTATGAAAAGGCAGGTGCCTTTGAAACTTTCTGATAAGGTGTGGTTCTGCCTATGAAAGTGTTTGCAAAGCCGTGGCTGAATTTAAAACAACAGCTGACTTCCTGGGCATGTCCCATAACTCAGCAGCATGTCCCAGTTGCTCGGTCCTGCCCATGCCAGCTGTAATTAATCGGTGCACTGGGAATGGAGATCTTAGGGGTGATTGAAAAATGTCATGTAATGATTTTTAAAAAGCTGATGTGCTGCCTAATGACCGTCCCCTATTCTCTGTCTCCTGCAGCATCTCTGTCCTGGATTATCCATACTGTATTGTCCATGAGCTGCCTGAGCTCACAGCAGACAGCCTGGTAAGGAGAGTGGAAATAATCCTTGTTACAGATGTTGCAGTAGGTCTGTGTGTGATGGAGCGGAAGAAGGACTGTTTTCCTGTCTCTCTTCCCTCCCACCCTCATCCCTTCTAAAGTAAACTTTTTTTTTCAGTATTTAAACTCCCCACCACCACCACCCATCCTTCTCTATCCTGGCTCCTGATCTGCTGTTGGATTGGGGGACCTGGTGTGTCCTACAATATAGTGCCTATTGGGCTTTTCCCAGCCAGACTTCCCTGCCAGTTTTTCTCTTGGTTCAGTACTAGCATTTTGTAAGATGCTGCTCAGAATAAGAGGGTAAAACAGCTGTTCCTTCCCTAAGGCTCTTAGTCTGAACATTTTGCAGGCTGCCCCGTCTACCTGGGTTTCGTACGTACCACACTACCGATGAAGCATCATGAGAGAATCGCAGCCACAGTCACTTCAAATATACGCTGAGGAGTCATTTAGGCTCCAAAGTTGATGGCCTTTAACCCTTGAAACACAGAAGGTAGCTTATTGGATAAAGAAATTGTGAACTCAGTGATGGGCGGGTGAGGAAAGTGGAAGAATTTCTGGCGTTGAGGAGTAAAGCGGGCTTCTTGTCTTGAAGCCGCGCCAGGTCAGCACTCCCTGCATCCCTTGCTTTCCAAACCCTTTGGGGATTCAGTCATTCACCTTGAATCTGCTCTGCATTGTCATAGTTAGCATTATCAGGGAAGAAAAAAGCATTCTCTGGACTGAAATGTCACGTTCTGCTCTTGAATGCCTCTGCTATGCAAACATCAGAGTAGGTGAGCACCTAATAGTAAAGTCTCTCCCCTTAACATCTAATGAATTTTAAATGCGTCTGACAGGTATCAAGGTCTGGAGGGCGGATAGATAGCCACCTGGCTGAGCCGACTGAAGAACAGTACATCCTACCTCTTTGCTGGATAGGTGACTTTTGAGGTCCTTTGCAACTCCGTTTCTGTGGTGCAAAAGCAAACGGCCACTGTTGGTATAGGACTTAAAGAGCTGAAGCTGTTGTTGCGATGCAAAAAAAGGAATACAAGGGAACTAACAGTGTTCTCGAGTCTGTGCTGCACAGCCATTGCTCATGCTCAAGCATAAATTAAGAAGTTGGCAGATGGAGCTAAAATAATTACATGCTTCATCTAAAGTGCAGGTTAAAACGAAAAGAAAGTCCGTATTGAATGGAAAACCAATACCATGAACAGTCCAACTTTTTAGAGAAAAGCAATGAAGACTGCAAGAAATTAACAGCATTTAAACGAAACTTTTTCACAATAGGCCAGATTTTGTGTGTGTGAATGGAGCCAGCCCGGAACGACCTTCGTTTCACTTTGTTTGGATTATCAGTGACACCTAGCGGTGAAATCTTCTCATTTCTGCCGTTTTTGCTCATTTCCATTTAAAGTGCCGTGGAACGCTATAGAAATATTACAGGATTGTCCCTCCAGACTCCCCAACAGTGGACAGGAATGCTATCCGTTCTGGATATGTGGAGATGCCAAACAACATAGAGTTTCATAGACATCAGGGCTGGAAGGGCCCTCACAAGATCATCGGGTCCAGCCCCCTGCCCCAGGGGCAGGAAGTCAGCTGGGGTCAAAGGATCCCAGCAAAATAAGCGTCCAAATGTTTCTTGAAAGTGTCCAGAGTCGGTGCTTGCACCACCTCCGCGGGGAGTTTGTTCCAGGGCCTGGGGACTCGGACAGTAAAGAGGTTTTTCCTTATATCCAACCTAAAACAGTCTTCAAGGAGTTTGTGATTGTTGGACTTTGTCATCCCTTGGGGTGCCCTGGTGAACAGATGTTCCCCCAGATCCTGATGTACACCCTGTATATACTTATAGGCTGCCACCAAGTCATCCCTGAGCCTGCGCTTCTCCAGGCTGATGAGTCCCATGTCCCTCAGCCTCTCCTCCTAAGGCCTGTTCTCCTGCCCTCTGATCATGCGTGTGGCTCTTCTCTTTCAAGCTTCTCTGCATCCTTTCTTAATTGTGGGGCCCAGAGCTGGATGCAGTACTCCAGCTGCAGCCTCACCAAGGCTGAGTATAGCGGGAGGACAACTTTCTGGGTCTTGTATGAGATGCGTCGGTAGATGCAAGCCAGAGTTTTGTTCTCCGGCTGCAGTATCACATTGGTGGTTCATGTTCATCTTGTGGTCAGTCATGACCTCCAAGTTTATTGCCTTGGACTGAGGTGGTGACAGAATTAGAATTCAAGGTCTTTTGGCACTCGGTCACAAACTTGGCCCGCGGGACTGAAGCATTTTCTGCAGCTATTCCAATACTTTACCATCAGTAGTTAAACTGCTGGACACCCTCTGTCGACAGTTGTAGTGATATATAGTCAGGTGCAGATGAAGGGACATGTTTGAGCTGTGGTTAAATAGATGCAGTCTATTTTCAGGGATCTCCCTCCCTTCCCCACTCCCCAACCCTGAAAACTTACAGCTCCAATGACGACAATATATAATTAAAGTCGATGTCCATGGGGCAGACAGAGCACAATCTCCATTTTCGGTAAGATGACCAACTTTAGAAAAGGAGATAAGATAAAAAGGCCCTAAAGAAAGTAACATTAGATGCTATGAAGAAAGTCAGCAATAAACTCTCAGAAGATATCTATAATGTTGACAGGAAGGGAATTTGGAAGACAGCAACTAAACCATTTCTAGTTCATGGCAAGTTTTTGAGAGACTAAGCCACATAAGTCCCTACAAAAGTCAGAAATCTAACTAGTGAAGTCAATAAATAGTGGCATAAATTACAGCAGTTGTTAAGGAGGATGGACTTCAAAGGGCAAATAACTAACGCTATAAAAACAAAGAAAAAAAGATTCTTTAAGCATTTCAGAAGCGGAGGATTCACTGGATCAATGAAGTTAAAGGGAGTGGATGCAGGAAGATAAGGATGTTGCTAAAAAGCTAATTGATTTCCTTGCATGGGTTTTCACTGCTGAGGACGCTGGGGAGAATACAGTTCTGGACCTTCTCTTTTCTGGCAATAAGGATGAGGTACCGTCTTTGGCAAAAGAAGCGGCGCTGATTGAAATGCAGCGTGTCACCAGGCCAGCCAAAAGTCTGAAGGAGCTTGACTGTGAAGTAGATGAGCTGCAAACAATGACGTCTAAGCTTTCCTTTAAAAAACAAGAACCATTGTTATAAAAGACTTGGCAAATCTTTACTGAGATTTTTTTTAAAGATCTGAGTGGCAATCTGCGAAAAGAGCGCACCTAGCAAATGGGCTAAATCAATCATTTAAAAACAATAGCAAAAGCCCTGAAAGGCCATGAACTGACAGGGTCTTACTAGCATGGATTCAGGAAAGGAAAGTCATGTGTCGTTAATCTCATATTATGGTTTGCCATGAATATGTATGTAATGTACTGGAAGAAGAAGAGCCAGTGGACAGAACTTTTGATGCTCCCAAAACGCTTTCAACAACCCACATGAGAGGTTACTAATATAATATATTTTCATAGACATTAGGGCTGGAACAGACCTCAGAAGATCATCAAGTCCAGCCCCTAAATATATACTTGCTGACGTTCTGGAAAGGGGAAGGCAATACTGAGAGAGCAAAAGAGAACTTTTACAATCATTTCTCCTATGCCTGAGGAAGGGTGCTTGTGCCTGAAAGCTTGCAATTAAAAACATTTTTTTTGCAAAAATCTAGTTGGTCTAATACAAGATATCACCTCTACTACAAGTGCTGATTCCTTTTCCCTCTAGACCAATACGGCTACAACCTGGATACCTGGCAGATGACACACTTTAGACTTTAGTTAATCAGGACCACAAAGGATTGTGAGCGCCTTTAGAGACCTAATCGAGGTAGGCAAATCCACAACATGATGGCAAACTGAAAACCAAAGGTTGACAAGTACACATCAATACATACATAGGAGGGAAACTTTTAAACTACTCAAGTACTCATTCACTTTACAAACCTCTAAATTAACTGGATCAAAGAAACAGACCTAGCTAGCTTAGTGAACCTTCTCTTCAATGTGCAGCTGCAGTAAAAAACAAAGAAAAGAAAAGAAAAGAAAAAGCAAGTAAGATGTTTAGGACATAGAAGGACTGTGGTAGGAAATAAAACTGAAGATCTAATTTTGTTATATCAAAGAACAGTGTAGCCTCAATACAATACTCCAGCATCATCCAGAATACTGTAGCTGGAACTGGTCGGCCCATCTCAGAAAGATGATGCAGAATTGGAGAAGGTGCGGAAAATAGTGGTGAGACACCAGAGGCCGGGCAAACCCCTTGTATGGGGAGAGATTGAAATGACTGGGATTGTTACTTTTAGAAAGGAGATTGAATGCGGGAGTGTAAAAAAAATTGCACAAAAATGGCAAATGATCTAGAGGTAGATTGAGGACTTTTTCTTACTGTCTCATACTGTAAGAACAAGGAGCCATTCAGTGAAATTAAGAAGTGGAGAAACTCAAAGGGCAAATTTGCTAGTAAAGTCTTTGAAATAGCTGGCAGGTGTGGGGTGATCCTGTGCTCCTTTTTCATGGCATCTAGAACATCTTCCTACTTAACCAAGTTTCAGTATTTGTTTCCTTTTTCTGAATTTTATTGACTTAGCTCCATGTCTGAGCTGGATAGCAGATATTATACTCGACAACAAATCTCTCATTCTAAGTTAAACCTAAAGCCATTTTTCCCTGCCCCTAAGTATGGGCATAAACTAGATGGATATTTTTTTCTGTAACTTCATAGATTTCATAGACACTAGGGGCTGGAAGGGAGCTCATGTAATCATCGAGTCCAGCCCCCCTGCCATAGGCAGGAAGTCAGCTGGGATCAAGTGATCCCAGCAAGAAAAATATCCAGATGTTTGTTAAAAGAGTTGTAGATCTCTCTCTCCTCCTTCTCCCCTGCCCCGGGTTCTTACAATGGCTTCTTCTCTGTGAGACAGCAGAGTTAAAATGAGAGAGAAATAGCATTCGTGATAGCTTTTAAAAAGTAAAAATAAAACTAGGAAAAATTCTTCTGGGCAAGCTTTCGGGTCCTGAAAGCTTGCTAAGAAGAATTTTTTCCAACTATTTAGTTGGCCTAATAGATCTCAGATTTACCCAAAGAACGTTGTCTGCCTATGTCCTTAGACCAACGCGGCTACGGCCAACACGCCTGTAATAAAACTAGGACACCTTCCTTTCATTCCTTTCAGCAATTAAGCGTGTTCCAATGTTTCTTACGGGGATGAGTTTTATTTATATACTTATTATATTTGTACGCCACGCTTCCCAAAAAAGGGCTTAGGGCAGTTTACTCTGTGGGTGTGGGTGGGTGTGTCGGGGTGAAGGGTGAGGTACTGTTTCACTGTGCATGTAGCAACAAGTGTTCTCATTCAATGATGCCCTGATTTGAGACGGTCGATGACGTAGTAATTTCATGTTTCCTGGCTGACTTACCAGTTCCACAATGTCCTGTGAGAGCAAAAATTAATTCCACAGAGGGTTGAATACCTGCAAATATATGATACATCTCCATTCCATTTCCATGGATGGTGTCTCCATAGAAAGATGTGACAACTCGGACTTCTGAAAAAATGGCAGCTTTTGCAGGAACAGTTCTCTAACTTTTTGGATCATTATTATTAAAAATCATTATTTTCAAGGGATAAAAACCTACAAATAAAAAGTTACAGCAGTGTGGGTCAGTTGGGGGGTCTCCCCTCTTCTTGAGCAAAGCGCGTGTTTGCTCTGTTGTCAGACAGAAGGCAGGGTCCTCTAGGGATACCGTAAAGGATAGGAAGAAGTGAGACCTCGCTTGGTTGGACTGTCGTCAGAAAGGGAATGTGGGACTCGCTATTTTGGTCTCTTGTGAAAACAGAGAAAAGAGCAGGGCTGAACCTTGCTTAATCTTTCATCATTAGAGGAATTGGAGAGAGCAGGAGCATGTTTTGCAGCGTAATTCCTGGGGGAAGTGCCCATTGCCTATTGGATAACTGCTCCTTCTGCGAGAGAGATGCAAAGACTTGCTTGTTCTACACTGTACCATTGAAAATAAGAATGACGAAAAGAAACCCACCCCGCCGTTGAATGGCTAATCGTTTTAGAGTTTGTTATTTGGGGGAGGTTCTAGTTAGTTCATTTTTATTCTGTTCAATTGAGAACTTGAAGGAGTTTACAGGGCATGAAAGAGGAAAAACAAAGATCGTTAGAGGATACCAGCTAGTATTGTGCACTGTAATGAGAGAATACCAGTACTTTGCAAGCAAGGCCACCCATTGAGGCCAATTCATTGGCCTAGGTAGAAGCACACTAGTTGATCTGATCCATGGTTTACCACTAAAACCTAGTCTTTACTAGAGAAGGTTTGCTTCTACACCTTTGAGCAGTGAAGCTGTAATGAAGACCCTTCTTTTGTTGGCAAAAAAGTGATTTTCCTGGCATGGTGTTTAGCAGTTGAAATAAGCTATCCTGGCTAAAAGCACTTTCTTGCCTGTGTACAATATGAGTAATGCCTGCACAGTAATTAGCAGCGAGTGTGGCACTGTGTTTGTTTTTTGAAGACCTCATTAACACTGTTCTGCCTGTTCAAGCTTCCTGTGTAGACCTAGGCTAGCTTGGATTATGAGTTTTGACAGAAACTGTTCCCTTGTGTATCATCTTTCCATCACTGCTCAAAGCTCACCCACATGAGAGTGCCTAGAAGCTGGGGCCGATGACAGATTTCAGAGTATTGTTGGTTCCTAAGTGTTTCCTTCAATATAACTTGCTCAACAATGCGAATGTAAATGGCTTTCTACATTTACTGATGCTCATTTCCGATCTCATCCCCCAGCAGATCATTTATTAAGCACCAAACCAAGTGCTCAGCAGGGTACAAACAGAGGGCAGTGGTCCATGCCCTGGGGAGCTTATCTCACCCAAACTGGACGTGAAGAAGATAGATGAGAGAGAAGCTAATGTCATAAGGGGATATTTCTGTATGAAGTTTGGAGTAGCTTTAGTCAGCTTTAAATATTTCACATAGGTATTACTGGGGAAAAAAAAGGCCTGAGAGGATGGATGGAAGCTTCTGCATAGAAATCCATAGAATGTCAAGCATTGCAACCCCAGTCACATTGGCTCTGCCTGTCTTTTTGTGACAGATCCATAAAATTTCTGTTTATGGCTCCTTCAGGCAGAATCTTAAAAATGAAAGCACAATCTCTTCTTCCTGCATGGTTTAAAATCCAGTAGAGCTTTTCATATGTGGGTTTTGCCCTTGTATTCTCACCCAAAAATGCCCTCTCTTCCTTGGTCAAGAAGCATGCTGCACATTGGTTGGTTGCTGTGCAGTTGCCTCTTGCTCCAGAATTGACTGTTTCAGTGTTGCTGTCTTCTGAGTACCGGTATTGTTGGAAATCTTTTGGGATGAAAGTCAGTATAAAATATGGTGGCCCTCTAACCCAATGTGAACATGTTTTATAGTCATTCCACCTGGAAGGGAAAGGCAAGCTGCCTACACGGATAGGAGTTGGTGGGTGCCTACCTGAAATGTTGGTTCTGTGCAGTACATGGGCAGATCTAATAAATCCAGATTGAATCTTTGTGACATAAAAACATCCTTTTCCCATAGCCCATGCTATTGTTTGTCATTCTTATTTTGTTGCAATTCTATGTTATTTATCTGCAAACACCCTCTACACTTGTGGTGAGGGGAACATTGATACATATAAGCAATAAAATGGATCCTATAAGTTAACAGTTGTTATCAGGCTGTAATTCAGTGTCTGTGAAGTGTATAAACAATGAATGTGAATCGACAGCATATCGCTCTCTTGGTGGAATACCACTCACCTGCTTGCTTTTGTCTCTCCTTTCTCTTCAGCATGTGCACCAAATGCATCTTAAATGTCATCAGCAGGATTTTCAGAGTGACTTCCCAGAATCTGTCAGCTTGTCAACAGAGCGTTTCTTCTCCCAGATGAAGAAGCTATAGTGTCCAATACCAGTACTCCTACAAATGCCACCATAAATGTTACCTCTAGGAATAGTGCACTGAACTTCTCCCTGTGTCTGTTGGCAGGAAACTGGAGATAACAACCAGTTCTGCTGGAGAAACCTGTTTTCCTGCATTAATCTGCTGAGGATCCTCAACAAGTTGACCAAGTGGAAACATTCTAGGACAATGGTGAGTTGGTGCATGGGGGTTTGAGCTGTGTCTCTCAGAAATCCTGTTGTGAGATTACTACCATTTTGATGGGACGTATTGGGTATTACGTTATATCTGCTTGTTCTTTTTGTAGCAAAGACAGCCTTCTGTGTCCAAGAGTTGTTTGGTATTAAGTGAAGATAAAGTTGTTTTTCTCCCCAGATCTTGTCCTTGGCAAGAAAATGTTTAGGGTATATCATAGAACTGGATGGAGGTCATCTAATCCAACCCACCGCTTGAGGCAGGACTGTCCCTATTCAAGCCATCCCCTACAAATCTGTGTCTAACCTATTCCTAAAACTACATAAATAACCCTGTCACACAATTATAAGTCATATCGCCCAGAGATACCAAAAGCACCCTAACCCGCCACAGGTGAAGCAGGTGGATGAGGGCTGTCAGTGACCTACCACTGCAAGTGTTGTTTGAGAGATCCAAGGAAGAGGGCTGTGCTTCATGCCACAGAAAAAGGCAACTCCTCTCCCCCCCACCACGCACGCACGCACGCACGCACGCACACATCCTACCCATATGACCAAGGGGTAAAATTCCCTCCTGATCCCAAATGTGGTTTGACCCTGAGCGGAGGGGCTAGATCATCTAAGCAAGAAGCTGCAGGGTTAGGCCCAGAAGGAGCAGTGCACACCCTAGTTCAGGATCCCCAGCCTTAGCTGATGCCAACACTCAATGCTTCTGAGGAAGGTGGATAAAAACCATGACACCAGTAGCAACAGGAGGGGGAAATTCCTTCCCGGCCCCATGTGGCAACCGGCAAAGCCCAGAAGCATGAGAAAACCAAACGTGCCCCATTCTGCTCTGCAGCCTGAGGACAGCAAGCATAATGATGCACATTGCACCCTCTTGCTGGACTCCCCTTTCTGTATCCCCGCCATAAACATATCCCAGCTCCTTCTAATCTTCTTTCATGAGCAGCCTAGTTGTGGAGCTGTGTCGTTCTCTGGCCCGCTCCTATATCCACCTGCTCTAGGCTACAGAGCTCAGCGATCCGTCCCAGGGGTGGGCTCCTGGGCTTCTAGCTGTTGCTCACAATACAACACAGAGCTATGAAGAGAAACTCGTGCAAGTTCTTAGCAAGGAAGCTTTGATACTGGAAGTGGTATAATCATGTTAGCGTAGTTGTCCACTCTGGCTAATTAACTTTGTCGCTATGGGTTTATTACTTGTTTACCTCCCCCTTCTTCCCTGTCTCTTGTCTTCAAATCACTCTCTTCAGTACATGCTCTGTGCATGTCCTTTCATAGCACCTGGTGAAATGAGGTCAGGCTCACAAAAGCTCAGGCTGTACTTCTCTGATTGAGCCTATAAGCGCCCCTGCCTTTTGTACTGCTTCGATTATCCAAGCTATCTTATTCAGAACGACATAACCCTGCATGGTGCCTTGCAGATATGTCCTTAAGTCAGCTACAATAACGTGTATGCAAGGAACTGGGAGATGGTGCTTAAACGTGTGTGCTTGGCTCCATTTAGAAGGGAAAGGACAGAGAGAAGCAACCATGTTGTAGGCAATGCAGTGAGCCGATAGAATAAGACCAGGTCTGCCTTCCTGTTTGGCACCGTTTTAGTGTGCCATGGCAGAAAACTGAAGTGCAGGGTGGAAGATAAAATGCCACAGGTGTATGACCAGGGGGTTTTCCCACTGTTCATCTGCTGTACTTCACAGGAAAAAAAATTGAATAGGGATGTTTTTTATACCACACTTGCCAGTACGGCCTATGGGTGCCTAATTGTTTTAGAAGGTACTGGAACCAGTCATGTTGGTTTGTTGGTTGATAGATGCTGGTGGTTTTTAAATCGGCCCCAATCCTGAAACGAGCTCTGAAGGTGAAGCAGGCCATGATGCAGCTGTATGTCCTGAAGCTGCTGAAGATCCAGACCAAATACCTGGGGCGCCAATGGAGAAAGAGCAACATGAAAACCATGTCTGCCATTTATCAGAAAGTGCGACACCGCATGAACGATGACTGGGCTTATGGCAATGGTGAGTACTGGCAGGCGGCACTTCCTTGCTTGCAGCTAATGCATGTGTAGTTTGTCACCTTCTGCCTCGTCTGCAAATCGGGCTCGACCAACCTGGTCTTGCAAAGACCTGCACTGGCAATTTTGCTAAAGCGGTAAGGCCCTGCCTACTTAGCTGAAGGTGAAAAAAGATGTAATCTATTCCCTACTATGGTGAAGGAGTCTGATCCAGTAGGAACGATAGGATCAGAATTTCAGTGCCAGCTTAACTGGTACAACATTGTCTACTGTTAAGATCATTTTAGACATTAAGCAACCAAGCTCCGCCTCAGAGTGCACCGAGCTTGCAGGAGTGAACTTGGCCAGGGTGCGAAAACCTGAGTTAGGCTCTGCAGGTCATTTCTGTGAAATAAAGGCAGTTATAAGCTAACTGTACACACTTCATGGGCTGTGTTTTGGCCTGGGGTCTGCCTGTCTGCCACTGTTGTGATGCAGTTTTCCATATTTTCTGCAATGGGACAGACAACACAACACCACAGTGTGACTATCACAAACCAAAGTAATACAGTTGGCTACAAAGTCTGTATACTTAGGATATTTTCAGTGAGCACAATAACCTGAATCCCAGGCCCCGCTAAAGGGGGAGGAGCATTGTTGCCTTGAATAATGTATTTGGCCTAAAAGCTTAAATTGCACCCATTGTGCTTAAATTTCCTAATGAGGATTAATCAGGTAGTGCTTGCAGCATCAAGGAATATGTATTAATGGGTCACTATCAAGAAACGTAGGCTTAATATTTTAGACTTTCTTGTTGGAGATATTGGTGATTAAACATTTAGGGTATTTAATTTCAGTTTAAATGGGCTTATATTAAAGCCTTCCTGCTGCACTTCTGAGAACCATATAATAAGTATTGCCTTAATTCAGGAGGAAACAAAACCCTCATTAATCTAATTTCACTGTAGAGCTCAATAAAATCCCAAACGTAACGACTACTAAAGTTACCTTTTTATTTTAATGTATCTCTCAACTGATTTACCATGACATAGTCTTTCTCCACTTGCTTATTGCTTTTTAATGTGAATAAAGACAGGAGCTGGAAGTATTTCTGCTGTAGATTACATGCAGCTGCTGAATGCATTTCATTTTTGGCTGTGTTGAGAAACCTGGACAATGTAGGTACACCCACTGCTCAAAGATAGCAACAGCAGAACGCCATGCTGTCATTGTTCGCAGCTGAGGATGATTGTCTTCCACGACCACCTTGCCGGTCGGTCCCAGATGGCTGACAAGGCCAGTCTGGGATTGCCAGGTTCTGGTCCAACTTGGTCACGTGTTTCCATGCGGGGTGGGTGGTTCCAAATTCTTGATATTCGGTCCGTGACACACTATTTCTGCCGCTTCTGCTTTTCCATCTCCTGTGGTCATCTTGAGGTTTCAAAGTACTGAGATCTTTGCAGCAGACTCTTCCTCCGTTTGCGGTTGTCCCGGGCAATAATCTCCCTCGAGCTGTGTTGATGTTGCATTTTTTTTTCAGGTTGGCCTTGAGGATGCCATTGAAGCGCCTGGGTGGGCTGCTAGTGGGCCAGGTGCTGCCCCAGCTCGGAGGCAGCACCCGACCCAATCCAACTCTTCCCTGACCCCAAGCTGGGCAGCAGCCAGCCCACTAGCAGCCTGCCTGGGTGCCCCCGGGGGTGTCACTACCGCAGAAGGAAGGGCCATGTCCCCTTGCTGCTCAGGGGCGGCCTGCCGGCAGCTCACCCCCCAGTCATGGGAGAGGCAGACAGGCTTCCCCGAAAAAGAAAAAAAAGGATTGGGCCCCTTGCTGCTTCTGCCTTCAGCAGGTGCCTGCTGAAGGCAGAAGCAGCAACAATCTTCCCAGGGGGAGAGCTGACTAATAGCTGCAATGCATAGTTGCAAACTAAACTATATCATGATGTAGTTTAGTTTGCAACCATGCAAACTTATTTAAAACCCCCAGAACTGCTGCACTTGTACAGTGTGACGCTGTTAAGCCACACAAGCTAACGTTTTAGTCACTGTACCTGGTAATGGTGTTACAAGTATAAGCGCCCTGAGATGTGAGTTTAAGCCTTGCTCCACACTTGTGTGAAAAGCAGCCCCCTGTTGACCCAGGTGTGATGGCATGGGGAGTCAAGGCGGCAAGATGTGATGCTAGCCATATTGCTCCTTCTTGTGCCATTGGCTGGTGTGCCTTAACCATGCTAGCTTGGATCAGATGGGCTGCTGATTCTGCTGGTGCCCCCTTTGGACAAGAGGATCCTCTTCTCCCTCTCTGTTTTGCTCCCGTCTTGCAGCCTGGTTTACACTTCTAAGAATCTAATGGGAAATGGCATTTTGCCAGTTCCAAATTCCCCCAGGGACGGAGATTTAAGCATCAGCATTATGTGATACTTGATTGCATGGTTCACTACTTAGCAGACATTGCATCCTGATCTAGACAGTCTGTCAGTCTACTGTATAAGTGCTCCGGCTTTCAGACAAGACCTGGAAATGTTTTCCCATAAGAAGGTTTATTTTTGTCCTCTGTATACAGTCTGAACTCATTAAATCTGGTTTTTCCTCCTAAAAAGCTATTGAGATTATTTTTTTTTGTTCAAGGAATTCTCTATACCATAGAGAGTATTTCTTATAGAACAGAACACCAGGAAATTTCAGTGATATTGTCTAGAAACATTACATGGCTGAAATATCATGGCTATTACAGCCAGCTATTAATTGCACAACATTGTCTGAAGTTAAATTTGCCTAATTTTCTCATTAAGAGACCTAGCTTTCATTGGCTCATAAACTTTCCTTAATCATGCATGTAAAATCTCTCATTTTCTATCTTTTAGTAAGAACGGTGAGGTTGTTTTGAAAAGTAGCCAGCGTTATATAATATCAGAATGCATACACAGAAGGGGTAAGAGTTAAGATTTTCCAGGAAACTTTACTTCTGGTTTAACTTTAATGCTTAGTTTTGTAGTGCTTTATAATTGTAGCGTTATATTTCATAGAAAAGAACCTCTAATGTATGCATGAACTGGTTTGGAAGAAACTCTTGCAGTCACTGCTGTGAATTTGACCAGCTCAGCCATATCGCTTTATCCTGAGGTCACAACCCTCTATTTCTGCTAAACCTTATGCCATGTCAGAGAGAGAGAGAATGATTTTCTCGTATTTGTGTGTGCAGATATTGATGCCAGACCGTGGGATTTCCAAGCTGAAGAATGCACGCTAAGAGCCAACATCGAAGCCTTCAATAACCGCAGATACGATAAACCACAGGACTCTGAGTTTGCGCCCGTGGACAACTGCTTGCAGAGCGTGCTTGGACAGCGGTTGGAGCTCCCTGAGGATTTCCATTACTCCTATGAACTGTGGCTAGAGAGAGAGGTGTTTTCTCAGCCTATCCGCTGGGAAGAGTTGCTACACTATCAGTGATAAGAGAATTACCCAAACCAAATGCTGTCTCCATAAGGATACAGGGTGCTACTATCTGGGAAAGAAGTCACTTTATGACTGGGGGTCCTTAAGTCTGGGGACAGAACTTGCTAACAGGGAAGTTACCTTTTTTATTTATCCAGACCCCTGCCCCACTTCCTCCCAGACACACACACTGTGGTATCCTAAATCTTTTAGGGACTTTCCCATCCCTTCCCTTGCACCTTCCAGAGACCATCAATATAAATGGACCTGCACAGAGTGCAGATTCTGATGTCACACTAGTTACAATTTAGAGTAATAACACTGATTGTACTGGTGTTCACTCCAGATTTACACAGGTATAACAGAGATCAGAATCAGGCTTGAGTGTCTTGGCTTCTTCTGAGCTTGGTTCACATGTATAAGTCTGCTGTGTAAGTAGCTGCCCTGTGGAAGGTTTGTCTTACCCGGTTGCCCTATGTAGTGCTTAATGGTTTCACTTACTCACCTTGGCATCAATACTTAGATTAAACACCCTGGTTACTAATGCCTCTAAAGATCAAAAGTAAATAGTAATCAGCACTATGTGATGACCTCAGTAGAGGCTCATGGATGAATAGGCTAACGAAGACTGAACTCTAGAGGTAGAACTGCGGTGCTGCTACTTGTGTTGTAAAGCCCGTTCTGTGAAAGCTTCTGTTTCCAGAACTGCCAATCTTGCCATATTCACCAGGCCTGTTATTTCCATACTTTTCTTCATAGCTATTCTTTTATCCATCACTGCATTCACTTAATTTTTGTAATAAAGTTAAATGAATATTAACTGTAGCTGCCTGACTACAATATGTGAGCTGTAAAAGAGTTAGAGTGCCTGGGATCCTTTCTACTTTATATATGAGTGAGCCCAGATTGAAAATACCATTTTAAACACTAAGACTTGCCATGTCAAGCATTCTTTTTCTCATCTATCATGGGTATCCAATTAATTTTCCGGGATTTTTCTTTCTTCCAGTATCTTGCAAGGAAGAAATCACAGCAGGGCTATTTACTGGAAGGCAATTACAGCAATCCATTAGATTACCAGCTTGTTGGTTTTTTCCATTTTTGGCCCTGAAGGTAACAGTAAATGCAATGTCTTGCCAAAAGTGACCCGTTTGACTTGTGACACAGGATTTTCTTTTGTTGTGGTGTTTTGGGGGAGCTGGTCTTGTGCTCTGTCCTAAAGGTGGTAAGTGGATGGGATAGGATTTCATTGTCAAGATGAAGCAGAATATCAGACTTTGCAGCCCATAACTTTCAAAAGAAAGCTCAGTCTTCATGCATTATACATGATTTCCCCTGCTTGGACAGCTCATGGTTTCATAAGCTAAAATCTTCAGGCAGATTCTACCTCAGCTTAAACCTGTGTCACTGTCTCCCCTCAGCCTATTATAACCATGCATTTGGGAGTGAAATCTTTGTCCAGTATATTTAAAGTTAATGGCCACACTACTGAATGAGCTGGACACTTGGCCTAGGCTTGTAAAATCCTTGGCATTTCAATAAAAGTTTCACGCAAGGGCCACAAGAGAGGCTTTATAAAAGCAATGTTGAAGTTGTCATAGCAGCAGTGCCTGGACACTGAGCTTACTCTGCAGAGCCCCACAGTACTAGACAGCAAAGGTCTTAGGTTTAGTCTTTTTGACAACAGTTTTGTCAAAGAAGCATGGCATGCACCTGTGTATTTCAGGCAAAACTTCTTATAAATTAGACTGTAACGCTAGCTGCATTTCAATAACACAAGCAATAAGACCACATGTAGTATGACAGCATGTCTGTTCACTGCTATGGAATTAGCCTGAGAATGTTTCTTAGTATGATTTGAGTAAGGCACTTTTCCAAGATGGCAGTAGTAAATCTGTTCACTTTTTAAGCACATTTTGTGTCCAAAAATAAAGTGAGTGACTTTTAAAGTGTGTTAATTTCCTTAAAGTGTTAGAAGAAAAATGGCAAATGCTTTTGTGAAAATGCAAGGTTTGTTCAGTCCTACCTGCAGCCAGCCTTCGCTTCTCTTTCTGCCTCCGATCTTTCAGTATTGGAGGGGCTTTCTGGTACAGCCTGGGAACCGCAACTGGGTCTGCTGGCAGGGGGGTCCCTGCTGGAGTGAAGATGGCAGGGGCATGGGCCGGCAGGCTCAGGTGGAGGGGAGGGAGGGGGGTTAACCCCCTCTCCCACCAGCACAGGACCCCAGCCAGGGTCTGCTTGGCAGGGGCATGGCAGCCCCTGGCAGGCTGTTCCCCACTCACCACTAGACCAGAACAGGCAGGGTGGGGGGGTGAGGGACTACTCTTCCCCCCCCCCACCCCACCCCCCAGCAAACCCTGGCTGGAGTCCAGGGCCTGGCAGGGGGTTTAAAACCCCTTCCCTGGCTCAGTGCACTGGTCCTGGGCTGGGGTGTGACCACACCCCTGCTCTCCACCCAAGCAGGGAGCAGAGCATGGTGGGGAGGGCAACAGCCTGAGAGGGACTCCCCCCCACCCCAGGCAAACCCTGGCCCCAGGCCCCAGATGGGTTTTGCCTGGGGGGGTGCAGTCCCTCTCAGGCTATTGCCTCCACTTCCCGTACTCTGTTCCCCACTCAAGCAGAGAGCAGGAGACGTGGCCATCCCCAGCTCAGTGCGCTGGTCCTGGGCTGGGGCAAGGGGGTTTAAACCCCCTCCCTGGCCCTAGATCCCAGCTGGGGTTGGTCTGGGGAGGGCAGTCACTCCCAGGCTTCCCCCCCACCCTCTCCACTCCAGCAGCAAGCAGGAAATAGCCTGGCAGGGGCTTTTTTCCTCCCTCCCCCCTGGAGCGGGGAGAGGAGCAGAAGCCTGGCAGGCGCTGTCCCCCTGCCCAGGCAGGCCACGGTGGGGGGCATGGGCAACTGGTGCCTCCTGAGTCGGGGGGGCATTTACCCCCCCCCCCCCCCCCCCCCCCCCCCCCCCCACGCACAAACACGAGGGGGGGGGGC